GGTTTTTTTTTAAAGGGCTTTTTTTTTTTTTTGGGGGTTTTGGGCTTAATTTTTGGGCCAAGTTAAATCCCCGGGGGGGTTTTTGCTTTCTCCCCCAAAAATTTTCCAATTTTGTTAAAAACCCCCCCCCGGTTTCCCCCGGGGTGGGGTTTTTGGGGAACCCCCCCCAGGTCCCCCCCAAAAAAGGGAAAAAAAATCCCCCCGGGGGAACCCCTTACCAAGGGGGGGTTGGGTTTTTTCGGGGGTTTTTGGGGGGGGTTTTAGTTTTTTTGCCCCCCCCCCCCCCCCCCCCCTCCCCCCCCGCCCCAGGACGCAAATTGTTCCCTTGCACGTTAAAAACCTTCTCGTACCACGACCGCGAGAGACGTCGCAGCTGACTGCAATAAAAAAAGCGATGCCAAAACCGCCCCCTCGTGCGTACGTCGAACCATTGTATTGTGGCGTGTTGGATGTGTTGACCCCCTACCTCCCCGTCTTTCTCCTGTGTCGGTGTCTCGGGTGTGCTGACCTCCTCACTCCCTGCTCTTCCCTGCTGCCCCTCCCTGCTGAACCCCCCAAAAGCTCAAGGCTAGCCTCGCAGAGCAGCTGTCCGTAGAGCAACTCCGGGCCGAGTTTCGGAGATATATCGAGACTAAGGTGGCCCAAGAGCTGGTGGACTTTTACCTCGACTCGCTAGACAGGGAGGAGATCAAGGAATACTTCACCAGACAGGTAACGAACCACTCGACATCCTTCACCCTTTCCTTCACCATTTGTACCGGTCGTGTGCCATGAGAGACGGAGGTGCGGTCGAAGGCGGCTTTAACAGAAAGGCCTGCCGTCCGTTCATGACGCCCGTGTCGCCCCCCCTCTTCCCCCCTTTTTTTCGTTCTTCTATCAGGCGGTAACGATGCGTATCGTGGCGCAGTATATCAGAGAAGGGGCCCCTGACCAGGTGGGTGTTGTTCTCGTTTTGGTGTGCCACTGAATACCAGTATGCGTCCCTCAAGATGACAAATAATGCATTTGATTTATCTGGTGACTAAACCGTTGCTCGCATAGTGCGTTGCTTCTATTGTGCTGAGAGCACACCATTAGCAAGACCCACCCAACCCCTCTTTGCAACGATATTTGGCGTGTGTCATTGATCGCGGCGGCAGGTAAACATTTCGGGGGAGTGCCGGGAGGAGATTTTGTCGACGGACGTGACGGCGTACGACATCTTCGACCGCGCTAGAGTTGAGGTTCTGACCGTTATGGAGGTAAGAATGAAGAGGGGGAGGATTCGACATCGCCTCTGGCTGCCGCTCGACTGAAGACCCGTTGTTTTTGTTGTCGTTGGCTGTCAAATGAGATTTTTGTGCATTGTCTTGTGGTGAGCCTTGATGGCCTTTTTGACAGCCACGCCTTCATCATCTGATGGTACAAGAAAATCAATGTTGGGCCTGAAATGTGCTGCCTTGAATGTTCGTTGCTTTGACTGGCGCACCGTTCAGAGTGGGAGGGCGTTCTTCGTGCGATCTACCGAACAACGGTGTGACACCCAAACCACACGCTACCATCGCCCAGTCTTGCACCCCAGCGCTGTCCAATAGCCAAACACACAGCCGTGTTTTGCAAGGTTTCACTGCGCTTCTTTCTGTTTTTTCTTCACTTCGAATCAGCGCTCAAAGCATTTGTGTGCTGTTTACTCCAACCCTTGGCGACACAGGGTTCCTCTCCCTGAGGCCCCCTACCCACCGGTCCTGTGGTGATTTGCCTTCATTTTTTTTTTGCGAGAAGAGTGCATCACTCTCTTGCCTCTGTGTACACGCGAACTAGCGCTTTCTTCGCAGATGAGAAACGGAAGCGAGAGATAACTCACTTTGCAAGAATATCTCGCTTGCGCCGGGATTCGAACCCCTGGCCCTGGGCCACTGGAAGGTATTCGAGGATATCAACTAGACTACCGGGGCAACCGGCTTTACTACTGCAATATTCCCGTTGTTTGGTCTTCGTGCCGTCTCTTCGCCGCCCCGACAAACTTGAAATCGACAACCGCAGACCAACTTCCAGAGGGAGTTCGTAGAGACGGAGGGGTTCCGCCGAATCGTCGATGCGGCCGAGCTGGAGCAGCGAGAGAACCGCCTTCTGCGGGCAGGGGGCTTCTTGCCGCCGGACGCCCCGCCTTCACCCTGCGTGTGACGACGTCCACTTCCTCTTTTCCGACGGGGCCCCCTATTGGCCGCTCGGTTCAAGCTTGCTTGCCCCTGTAGGACAAGGGCTGTTGGCACCCAGTCCCCCCGCGGGAAGGCTGAAGCTTCTTTGCCTACTGTGGCGGTACGCAATGTCGACGGGGCTGTTGTGGAGCGGGGAAGTGGTGGTGCAAGAGGTCGATGCTGCTAGCGTTGATGCTGAAGCAGGCGGTATTGGTGGGAATGGGTAGAAGCCCCACTCGTGTGTACACGTCCACTGACTGCGCCTCCGCGAGTGATCATGTCGGTGGAGCGAAAGGGGCACGACTGGGATGGCGATCTGGTTGTTGAGACTGACGACAGCGATGGAGCGGGGTCGCGGTGGCGGCAAACTCGAGGCGTTGCTCTGTGCATGGGAGGTGCTCCTGCGGCAAATGCTGGTGATGAAGCCACCGCTGGCAGCATGTATCGGGCTGGCGCCTCCGAAGGCGAGTGGAAGGTGCTGGCACGACCGCGTCTTTCTCCCTAAGGAAGGGTCGATGGTGTCCGTTGATAACGAAGGGATGGAGCCCCTGCTGCTTGCAGGGATCTGTACGCAGGATGAGTCACACACCTTAACACCATTCGCTGGGGCGTTGTTGCGGAATTTGCACTCCAAGCGGGTCAACGTAGTCTACAGGTGTGATGATTGGCTTTCTGTTTTTTCGCATGGTCCGGCAGCGGTGACCGGATGACCAATGAAAATCTTGGGTCGGGAAGGGAAGTGATAACTTTTTTTTTTGTTAGCGGTGCCCCCCCCGACAGGTGCGGGTAGATGCGGAGGAGACCGCTGGACAGGCTGTTCGGCCTCCGGATTCAGAACATGAAAACTTCACACGTATCTCCAGGCTTTTCCCATCTCCGCTGATATGGGTTTCGTTGGGGGGGCACCCGATATGTACCGGAAGGATAACTCGAGGTTGATGATGGCTGTCTGTTAGTACGAGCGTGTTTAGATTGTTGGGGTGGCTGTGATCTCAGTTTTGTCTTGTTTTTTTGTCGATGCGTCTCTTACGCGCGCGTGTGTGTGCGGAAGGTTGCGATATCATTCACCTTGTCCGGGAAAAATACGGCGTCCTTTATGAAGGCGATAGGCCTAATGTGCATAATAGTTTGGGAGGTTCTTGTGGACGGATTCATTCGCTCATCGATGTGCATTGGTTGTGCTTGTGTGGTAAGTTTTGGGTTTGAGACGTTTGCGGGGTTCCGGCAAGGCACGCGGTGTTATTCGTGTAAGAAGTCATTCTGGCGGCCACACTCCCGGCGGTTTGGTGCGCTGCTGTTCGTCTTGCTACAAATAACATGATGTTCGGGAAGGTTTGAATGGGGGTGGGAGGCGGGGTACGTACATGCGAGAACCCACACTTTTGTATTATCTCTTGTTGTATGTATTGTGCAATTGTGCAAAAGGAATGAGCAATCTTCATTGCTTTCGAATAGGCCATGCAATATCTTCCGAGTGAAATTCATCCATTGCTGAACCAACCTTGACTGTGACCTGTTTTCTCGTTTTTTCAACAAGGATCTTGCTATTTAAAGACCGAGACGACAGTGACTCGACATGAATTTGAATCCGGAGAGAAGATTCTTTAGGCCAAATACCAGGGAGCCACCATGTACGCCCACCTGTGTGTTAGGAAACATAAATACAAACACAGAAAGACTACCCATTCGAGATAAGACCACAGCAGTCGGACCTGTGTGTTGTTGTTGGTCATATATCGTACTGCAAGTATTTCCTGCGGTCTCTCTGTTGGCTTCCTCACTCGCAGACGAAGTTTGCCGCGAAGTTTTCTCCGAACGAAGAAGGGCACAGTGAGGCGCGTTCTGCGTGCACGTCATGTGTGTCTGGAACGCGTCCATTTTTCGTCGAGCGACGATATTTATGCTGAAGAGCGAAAGACTCGTAATACCTACATTGATTGGGAAATCGTACCGGACTCGGCAAGACGATTGGACGGCACAACAACAAGGTACCAAGAAATTCCCGTACCGCTCCAGACCATGCGCTTCTTCTGGGGTGTAGGATGCGTCATTCTGTGTGTGTGCCTGTAGAATGCAAGCGCAACCACGAGGACAAACGAGCGGCAGGTACTGAGGTTGGTGTGAAACAGGGAACGTAAACATTCATACAAAGTCTCACACTTGCTCACACAGCAGCAGCGGCCCCCCTTTACCCGAACGGAACTGTGGCTTTTCTCCCCGTGAAAAAATAACGCTTGGTGATCATCAAAGGGCGGTCATTCTTTTTGTGGCGATGCATTCGATCATGCATCAGCTGGATCGACGGAAGGGAAGACTGATTTTCCGAGCTACAGCAGGGGAGGCCGAGGTTAGTGCGCCGAGAAGGCTTGAACATGTCCATCTTATCATCGCCGCCATCGCCCTCTCTCGGAAGCCTCACGGTTTTCATCCGTCACACTGCTGTGCGGCGAATCACGGTAATACCATCTCACGGAAATCTGGCCTCTTGGGAGGTGTGCCTGTACATTGCACGGTGCTGTTTTGCGGCCGGTCTCCATCGGTACATTATTGCACGGTCTCTTGCAGGCTGTGCGTTTTAAGAGCTACCGCGCCTTTCACTGAAAACCTTCAAGTATGGGCGCCCATTGATATCAGCACCGTGCCGGCCGTTCCATCAAACCTTGTGTCCGTAGATAGATTTCCGTCCCTGCTGCCTGCCTGTCGTACAGGCTGCGGCTCAACAAATTGCTCAACAATTTGCCGGCAATCGTGAGCTGCCAGTTGTTGTGTACATCCACATCTACATATTCCTTCTCACCGAACATCTACATATTCCTACTCACCGAACACACACGGATGGCGGAGGCTCTGCTCGAGAAGCGTCAATCGCTTTGTCAACGTCGAAGGGGTATAGGGTGTGCAATCGTCTTTGCAAGACATCTTCTCTCTAGACTACATACGCTCTCCGGGGCATCATCCAACCACAATACAAGTACTGCTGCTGTAAAAGAGCTAGTAGATCCTTTTCTTCACGGAAAGACTTGTGGTGCCCGAGAATGTTGGGTTTCCGTTGAGTTCAAGCGACGAAAGGGCACCAACCAACGTCGTCTTGACACCAACAGGCGCTACGTATCTCGGTCGTGCGGATAACTGATTGATCATGGTGTCATCCTTTCGCAGAGCAGACGGGGAATCGGAGTAGGGCACAGGAGTCCGGTTGGGTTGCTGTTTTGATTGAGATCGGCACCCAACGTGCCAGTGTGCCCAACGTCTTCACTTCTGTGTACATACAGTAGTGCCGGCTACGGTTGCAGAGAGGGTCGTGACAAGCCAGTAATTCCGGTTAATTAAACCGTTCTGTGTGAAACATATGTATTTCTCATGGTCGTGACAAGCCAGTTTGACTCTCGTAAATCGGTACTTTCTCTTCAATAGTCGTAGCCGTCACTGACTGTATGTAACTTCACGAATCGCGGAATGCTCCGAGCTCTAAAGTAAACAACTTACAAGGTTCGGGCCGGTGGATAGGGATGCATCCCGTAGACGACACAAGATAACAAAGCCACCCACACCGGACCTT